GACAGTTTTTGAAGATCATTTTCGCAATCTAAAATCTAGAATTAGTTGAAAGAGAAAATTATCGGTATGCTGGTAAAAAGCAAATGAAATTTGAATTACCTGCTCAATAATTTTTATTACAGAGAAAACCTGGAACTGACTTTCTATCTATAGATACACTTTATGACACGATTGTCTTGGAACTATATGCTTTATGATTAAAATGTCTTGGAACTATATATTTTATGACAAAAATGTCTCGGAACTATACAATACGTCAAAACATCAATAGATGTAAAATCAAAGTATTATTATGTATATTTATTGCATATTGAATTTCGAATTCGGTACAATAAATTTTACAACATAACAATTTTTAAAAATCAAACAATTTGACATGTTTTGTCTACTTATTATATAGAGTCATCATTCTATATATATATTTTTGATCGATTCAGAAGTGGAAATAATATGGATAACAAATATATCATTTATTTTTTGATACTTTTTCCAAATATATTCGCATATCAACTCAAAAACCGGAACATTTCTTACTCAGTGAGTATTAGTAGACAATCTAAAATCCACAATTAGTTAAAAGAAAAATTATCGTTATATTGGTGAAAAATCAAATGAAATTTTATTTACCTGCTCAAACTTTTCCATTACAGAGAAAACCTGGATCTAAGTAACTAAGTATCTATCTATAGTTAAACTATATGACACGATTGTCTTGGAACTATACGTTTTATGATTAAAATGTCCTGGAACTATATATTTTATGACAATTTTGTCTCGGAATTATACAATACGTTGAACAATCAAACTAATAATTTCTGTATGTACAAGTATCATTCTGTACAGTTAAGCAATTTTTAGCTTGAAAATCCAGAAAACTATCTAATCTGCAAAAATGATAATAATATAGTACTATTATTCTCAATACAATTATCCTACATTTTGGATTTATTCGCATATTTGTTTATAAAAATCTGACAAACGTCTTTTTTTTCAGTGTAGGTTTGCAGCCGTTCAGGTGTAAATCCTAAACCTGCGATCCTTAATTAGTTCAAAATAAGTAATAACTAAATTTTTTCTTTCTAGAATTTAGATTAAAGAAAATTTTTGTACTTATTTATAATCAACCTTTATTTAGAAAATTTAGGGAAATTTTTTTGTTTGTTTTTTTTTTTTTCAAAAATATGGTACAAGAAGTTCAACAACATAAGAAAAAATGATAGTGTAATCGAATTTGCAAGAATAGTGTTGACTGAATTGAAATTATAGATTTCAGCCATTATATTTTTTCTTTGATCTGTGAAAACATTTAATTAGACAATGTGAAATGCAATTCTATAATGATATTTTAAAATATTATATTATCGAAAATGACTCACATAAGAATTCAAAATAATATATTGATATTATGATAAAAGTATAGTTGCGGGACAAAATATTTGCGAGTCCGTCCCGGAAGAAACCGTTAGACAAATAATTATTTTCAATTCCAAGACCGTCCTGGAAGAAACCGTTAGACAAATAAATTTTCCAAGACCGTCCTGGAACTCAACAAAAGTCTCGGAACTATACGTTAAATCTCAAAAAAAGTCTTGGAATTAACCCTTAGATATACATATATATATATATATATATATATATATATATATATATATATATATATATATATATATATATATATATATATATATATATATATTATTCCTATATTTTGAAGTGAACATTGTAGGACTTTGTAAACATGTAAACAAAAATAAAACTGTCACAATGCAGAATACAATTTGATTTTAGATATAAAATGTTGCAAAATCTCAATAATGTGAATTTGTAGATATACATTTATCGCAAGAAACAAAATTTTAGGACTTGCACCTGGAAAATAATGAAAACTTCCGTTTTGATTTTGATATGCAACCTTATCGCATCAAATAGTGCAATTTTCTGGAGGCTTTTTCGCAAATTTCATTTTTAATATAAACACTGTCACACTAAGAGATAAACAAATGAATGCTTATAAATAAGAACAAATCGAATTATAATTGATACAAATTAAACTCTAAGCAGCGAACACAAATGCCAGTGTTACCAACTGATGAACTGATTTTCAAGCAAAATTGATAAATAAACTGAAATTAAAAAAAAAATCAATATAATTAAATCGGTTTTATAAAAATCCTTAAATAATTATAGAGTATTATTACATATGGATAAACACAAATTTCGCTGTTTCTGGCTACTTAAAAAAAGGTCTTTACTCTACTGGAAAGGTGTTAAAATTTCGCTGACGTAGCGGAATGCCGCTACTGTTGGCAACACTGGAAAAGGTCTTATAGACAAACGTCTTTTGGAAATTTCCTACAGAGGGTGTATCGCATAGCTTGAATCGCGGATACTAATTTATTAAATTAATAAAAAAAAATGACCAAAAGTAGTTTAAACGAAACACAGACTATTGAAACGAAAAATGGATAGTCAACAAATTAATTTTATTGCCATAAGAATTCTCGCTCAACAGATCAAATGTTTAACTATTTATAACTAAAAAGATTTTAACTTATTATATCGTAGATCGCAAATCGAAATCCGAAAGGTCAGAATTATCTGAAATAAGTTGTAGAAATAATTTTAAAATTCGGAAACAAATCTCAAAAATCCTCTTTGGGGGTGGTCTTAATAATTCGTAGGGGAATTTCAAAGATGTTTACAAATTTTCAAATTATATTCTACTGTGTATAAATAGTTTACAATAGCATTAACATAGGTAAAGCTGTACTGCAACTTAACAAAAGCGATTGATTGCGTGGGCCACAAAAGGTTTATTATTATGATATTAAAGATATTGCTCTGAAGTGAATGAAATCTTACTTGTCCGAAAGAAAACAGTTAAAACAACTACAGACTTGCATTTACTGAATGTTAATTAAGGTGTTCCTAGAGAGTCAGTTCTTGGGCCGTTACTGTTTTTAATTTATGTAAACTATACATCTATTATTTCATGATATTTCAGCCGACTTGACATTATTTGCTTATGATACAACACTCTTAGGGCATACTAAATCCGTTTTGACTATTTTCGCGATGATGTCTGTGTGTGTGTCTATATACTCGATCATTCATGAACGGGTAAACAGAAACACTCCAAATTATAAACTTAAGCTTTAATCCATCCTGCGGTTAGTTTCTGCGGTGAACCGATTATATTTAGGACATAGTTGGAACATCTGGGGGGTACTTTATACGGGGTAGTTTTTCTACTTCATCGAATATATCTGTTATTTACGCTTGAAGAAGAACATTCTTCAAATAAAAGTTGCTTGTTGCTATAATTTTTGTCATATATATAACTTTCCTAAAATGTTTCGTATTCGAGAAATTTGACAAAAGTTCAAAATTCGAATTGTGCATATAAAAGTTACATTCTCTATAATTCTTGTCCTATACTAAAATGGACCGTATTCGAGAAAAACACCAAATTTGAAACTTAAGCTTTAATCCATCCTACGGTGAGCTGATTAAATTTTGGAAATTGCATCTGGGGGCAATGAATATACGTAAAAAAATGTTCCAAGTAAGATGTGTGTGGAAAATGTATGTATTTAGCTCATCCTCGAAACATTTACAAGGGTGATACAATAGGTTATACAAAATAATCAGAAAAAAAGCCTATAATAACTAGATAGGACAGTGATGTGATGTGATGATCAGATTTTTATTTTAAAAATAAATTCACATTGATGAAATGTATCACGTGGATGGTTTAAATAAAAAGTTAGCCCCCGATTGTTTTGAGATTAGATATACCAAGAGGGAATTAGGATTTGCAGCAGTGAAATGTTTTTACTTCGACCAAAAAAATATTATTTAAATATATTTTAAAAGAACTGGCCCCAATACCGTACCTTGAGATACACCACATGTTATATATTAATTATTAAAGCAGTCCTGTATTTTAACTGAGTTCTATTTGAAAGATATAACTTAAAACGATTTTGTGTGGGATCTCTTATACCCTACATGGGTAGGCGTCTTTAATAGTAAATGGAGATCGACGGTGTCAAAGGCTATTGCTAAGGCTAGAAATACACCTTTACCAGACTTTGTGCCATCTACTGCCTTATAGATTTTGTGTCAATTTTAGAATGGCATATTGGGTGCTCTTCCCCTCCTGAAAACCAAACTGACATTATTTTTTCCTTCTTTCTAAAACCGGTTGATCTGATTTTTTAATTTTTTCGAAAATTTTGCTAAAATTAGATATTAGTGGTATTGGACGATAATTTTTCATTTCTGTATTATCTCCATTTTATAGATCGGTGTAGGAAATTCACCCTTATTTACCGATTTATTAATACATGTTAACGGTTTTATAATAAACGGTATCTGATTTTATGGCATCATCAGGGCCAGGAAAATTAACATATAGTCTCTATATCTGTGGTTCTTCCTTACAAAAGACACTTACTCATAAATGATATACGTGTACATATTTAAGATCTAATAAATATATGCCAAACTCCAGTTAAGTTACTGCTAAATAAAGTGAACTGTGAAATATTTTTATTCAAGATAAAATGCATTTCCTATCCAAGGCTTTAATCCTAGCGATAATGAGGGCCAAGATAATGGAGGAAGCTGTGATTGCAATGAACATAAAAAAGGGTTGGTTCCACTAAGTTTCTATTTTCAGTAAATTAAAATAAACTTGAAAATTCAGATGATTTGTTTGTAGTTTCAAGTGATAAAATTAGACTCCAGTTATATGTTTCACCTGATAAAAGCTAATATAAGCTGTAATTTTCACGATTGCAGTTCTGACAGGTTAAAAATTAACAGCCATTTTTTACCGTAAATACCCTAGTGCACCTAGCGGATTTTTTAAGTACTCTGAACAATTTTAGCCTTTTTTTAGTATTGAAAGATCTTTTATAGTTATATCGTGCATTTCTATAATCTAATGTTCTCAAACCTGTCAACATAATAATGACATCGACTTTTCTGTTTAGAGTATATCAATTCAAGCGTTAATATATGAAGCATACAGAAAGTATGGTTTTCTTACAACAGGCCAAATTGAGAGGTTACGATTGAAACATAGATTAAAAGTTGTGCAAGAATTAGAAGATACATGTGAACGAAACGTATTGAGGTGTGTAATTGCTGATGGTTATTTTACACAGGATGAATTGCAGGTATATAAGAATTTCAAAATATACTGCTATTTAAAAGTTACACCTATTTAAATTTGAATACATACTATATCAATACATATAGGGATTTTTTCTAATAAATGTAGTTTAACTATCGGTTTAACTTGAAGCTATTTATGTACCTTTTCAATCAGTTGTTGCATTATTTTTAGGATCTTCTAGGATTAATCAGAGAAGAAATAATAAGTCAAAAAAAATGCATTCCAGATAAACACGATCCTTCGTTACAACCTTACGAAGCTTATAAAATTGATTTTGATTATTTTAAAATTTTATTTGCCGCTTTGTCTCCATGGGGAAAGGGTGAGACTGCTGAATCCATAGCTGCCAGAGTTTTTACGGTAAATATTAATAATGATCGATGTGTCAACATATTAAAACCTCTTCTTTTTTAGTTAATGGACCAAAACCAAGATAGTTACCTCAATTTTCGCGAACTAGTAACGGCCTTAGGCCTTATGTGCACTGCCGATCCAGCGCAGAGGTTGAAACTGCTCTACGCTATTCATTTACCGCCGATCCTTATTATGTCAGACATCGAATCTCCAATCAAAAATGAGTGTGGGACGGAAGTCGCTTCCGAAGCGACCGATTTCTTCACTAACGTTGAACAAAGCGTCACTGTGGACAGCCTGAGTTTGAATGAAGAGACGCCTTCTCCTCTGACACCTACCTTTCAGTGGCAGTAAGTAATCTTTTAACTTTTACTTTGCTATGATTGTCATAATAAATACAATAAAATTTAATATTTAGGGTTTCCTAGAATGTACAAAAATATTTCGAAAAACTACCAATAATTGAAGGTGAATTTATATATTATTACATAGAAAGCAAAATATGCCCTATATGCCTAAGACTAGATTTACAACTTTTCTCTATTTTTTTCTATTCTTGACAGCTTTTCTTCACCGGCTAACTCCTAAAATCTGCAGAGTTTCCTCATCTGTTGTTATCATCTTACTCTCTCGGTCTACCCTTTCTTCATCCAGTTTGCGGTTGGTGGTTTAGGAACGCTTCTGTAATAGTAATATCATCTTGTGCTCAAACTATATGTCCCATTCACCGTATTCTTTGGGCTTTAATGACTTTTACTATATCGGCATCTTTGTTTGTATAGATCATATCGAACCTTATTTTCTCTTCTATGTCCAATAGCATTAAGTTTTTTACCTCCATATATCCCTCTTAACATTTTTAGCTTTGAATTCTTCTTTATTTCCCCCGTTATTAATAAACGCGGAGCCAAGATATTTCATCTTTTCCCCCTTTTTATTTCTATTTTTTGAATTTTCTCATTACCTTCAATAACTAATTTATTTTTGTTTCCTCTTTTTTCCTGCTTCCATATCCTTTATTTTATTATTGATAATTTTTAGACCTACCATCATTGCTTTCTGCGGACCACAATGATTTGCTATCAAGATATATTTTATTTAGCTTGATTCTGTAGATAGATATATACAGGATTATATTTACTAAGGTATTTATTTCGATAAGTCATAGAGGTGATGGAGTTAACGAACAGCGCCAATTCGCCATTTGGTTAACTTACTGTGTTGATGTTCACATATACTTTATGGTTCAAACCTAGTAGAGTGGGTCCTAGTTTAGGTGCTCCCCTTGAGCTAACGAACAGTGTCAATTCACCAGTTGGATAGCTAACTATTAAATTTTACCATCCAGGTTTGCGTTGATATGTGTGCATAGGGAAGTAGGGCGGCGGGACTTAGAGCGTATGAACGTGAAAACGTTCAAGAGATAAATCGTCGGGACTTAGAAAGCTGGGGAAGTAGGGTGGTAGGTCGTTGAGCATCGGGACGTAGAACATCGCGACGTAGGAGCGTCGATATGTGGTAGGGTAGTAAAGGCATCTGTTAGGAAGAGCGTTAGGAAATTTACTGAATACTGAACTTGAAATTTGAAAAGCAACTAAATTAGGCTGGATTTGAAATAATATAAATCTTGTGTTCCTGGGGTTAGCTATTTATACCCGTTTTAATGAGTTTTTGCGACGTAAATCTGTCGTAACTCCGGTGGTAAAGAATTTGGTAGGGTGGTATATTTATTACGTGTCTTGAAAAATTCTCCGAATGTTGTGTCGAAATCGGTGTTAATGTTCAAACTTAAGATAAGCACGTTGACTGTTTTAATGATTATTACTTCGTGAAAATAATATGTTTTAAGGAGATTTTTAGGTCGAATTCTCTTGGGATAACTTTTTATCTTTTCTGATTATTGAGGTTGTACATGTAATATTAGAGACCCCGCGAACAGAAATATTGCTTTTAATTATTAGGCTTCATACATAAGATTTAATTATCTCAAAGATTTTTCGTAAAATGAAGGAATTTGAATTTAATAAGAATGCAACTTTTATTTAATAATATGAAATTGATAAATTGTGAAGGTACCTGGTTGCGTTAGGTTACGGTGCCAACATCACTACATCATCCGCATATGCAAACATTGAAGGCTCTTTAAAGTGGAAAGCAGAGCTCGTTGCCTTATTACATTAATTACTGCAAAAGCATCAGTTAGTGATTCTGCTGCTCGTACCTTATATTTTGTATCTGCTAACTTAATTTTTGTTGACTGTATCAGTTTATTGTGCATTCCAATTTCTTCCAGAATATCCTATAATTAGAACTATAACTGTAAAGGGCAATTCATTAAGAATGGGCTATCTCGGAACTACAGAGAATAAACACCAGAATATTAAGATTTAGCCTAACATGCCTTATCAAAATGTATTGGTGTATGAGATACAGGTTGTTTAATGGGAAAATGTATTAATAACTTTATAAGTTTCAACAGCATGAACATAAATTTTGGGATTTTTAGGTTTTCTGACATGAGAAATACGAATTTGTAACTTATTTTGTGACTGCTCATAGAGGGCGCTAGTGGCACCCTGTTACTTAAGTAAATTATATCATATCTTCTTTGCCCGTTGAATAATGTTTAAAATAAGTTAAAATATGAACGCCCGTTCAATTTTACATAAAAAAAAAGAAATATGCAAAATACAATCTTACTCTCCTCGGTTGGCTTTACAAGATCTACGTCAAAATCCAGAAGTGGGAATCTGGACGTTGATTCTCTACAAGTCAACTCAACGAGTCGACTGATAATTTACTTGATGTATTATGGTTACAACAAGGTTAAACTTTGATAGTTGTAAGTTGGAAATCGGAAATCAGAAATCGACCCTCAGACTGCTATATATTCGCTCTTGAAATAAAAAATAAATTTTGTTTTTCACGATGACCTTATAAGAAATATAAGTTAAATTTTCAAATAATTATTTTAAAATTTCCAACAATTAAAAAGAATTAATAAACACATCGAATAATTCAAAATTGATTTTAAAAAATTATACAAAATAAAAAATTATAGAAATGTGAAGAATATTTAGATTTTTCCAATGACATTAAAAAACTTACCGCTTTATCGCAGTCGAGCACTTCAGCGAAATGTTATTTTAAGTCAACGATTGATTTAGGAAGGAAAGCAGATAATGAATTTAAACACTGCTTCGCCAGGTTTCCCCCTCTCAGCAACGGTAACCGCGCCGACAATTATATTTTAAATAAATCATTTAATTAATAATTAAACTATATACGAGTTGGTTCTCATTTAAAATAACATTTTTAAATTGTTACAAGTTGTTGTGTTTTCTCCGAACCCAGTCATTTATGAAACCTCGAACTGTACGTTTTGGTACTCCAAGATTTATATCTGGTTCCGGTATTTCTTCTGGCCCTTTCTTTGCGAGTTCGTCAGCCTTTTTATTGCACATGATTCATTGATGACCTGGTATCCAAACTGGTTTTATTACTTCGGTCTGCCAGTGTTGTCAGTTCTTCGATAGAAGGGCCGTCTGACTGTCTGACATTATTTGGATCTGCTTATTTACACAATGTCGGAGCTTACAATAATTATTATTTTTTAAATGACACAGGATTTTATTTAGTAGAGTATAATTATCACAGGAGATACTCGTGTCTCTCTGTAATCGGCAGGAACATGTTTTTTTTTACTATTACAAAAATAAAAAACAATATGACCCAGGATATAGCGATTTATTACTTTTTATGCTTGATTTGGTTATAACAGACGTTATTGACGATGTTTTATGAATTCGCGAAACCCGGTATAATGTCCAATATGCCAAAATAGCTTCTTCTAGGATTTCCAGATTTTCTTAGAAAAACAGCTACAAATTTTTTACAAGTCCTGATTAACTCAGGAAATATAACTTGATAACAAATACACAACTACACTTTTCTTTAATCAGTCCTTGGATCTGTCATGGTCCCAATCTGCAACTGGTAAAGGAAGGTATAAATTTTTCGATTTTTTTGCTTCAGTGTCGTTTTTCTTATTCTAAAAATAAAAAATATATTTCAAATACGCTTAATAACTGACAATATCCAAATAGTAATTTCATATTCACCATTCAGATCATATTACGAATTATTAATAAAACTTATTTACTAATCATTAAATGAACTGTGAAAAATTTAAATGTTTATCATCTTTTCGCGACAAATTCTGAAAAATAATCAAACTGACCTTTATATTCGGCTTCATCGTAATAATTTGATCTATATCACCAGGTCTGTTTAGGAACCAGATCTAAAGATAAAAACCAAAATATTGGTAAACACCCTGATTCCACCAGAATAACTTTTGATAGGATAATTGTTTGCAAAATCGCAACCATATCATTTTTTTTTAGTAGTAGTAGTAGTAGTAGTAGTAGTAGTAGTAGTTCTTGGGTTTTTAGGTGCCTGTATATCAAATAAAAATCGTGTGTGTTTGGTTATAGCTTTCGGCACTGGTCAGTGCCTTCTTCAGAAGTTTTATTAAATATTTTTTCCTTTTAATTAAACATTGTTTTTTATAAAAGTTAACAGTTATACAGAATTGGGATGCTTCTTTTAAATCAAACTAAAACATTTTTATGATTCTTTACTTTTATAAAAAAAACAATGTTTAATTGAAAGGAAAAAAAAATAATAAAAACTACTTAAGAAGGCACTGATCAGGGCCGAAAGCTATAACTAAATACACACGATTTTTATTTGATCTACAAGCACTTAAAAACCCAAGAACTACAAAAAAAACTATAAATTAAATTTGCAAGAATTATAACAAAAGAAAACAGATACCATGACTTCCTTTGTAAAGTATTTAAATCATTTTTTGCCTTTTTATATCATCCATATGCATTTGTCGTCGTCATATTCTTTTCCATGCTTCCACCATAAAATTTTTAATAAGGAATGTACCACTTGCAGTATCCGGTAGTATCCGGATACAGTATCCGGATACTTTATGTGTATCCGAATTTTGTATCCAGTATCCGTATCCGTGGCCAAATTTGTAAGAATCCGGATACCGGATACTTTTTTCGGCATTCGGATACTTTTAAATTATTTACCACAATCGTAACGATTCAATCCATATTATCTCTATTAAAATATATAATCGAAATACTTTAAGCTACCCTGTATAATTAGAAATAAAATACGTATTTTTCAATATTACAATATTTAAGGCACAGTTGCAATAGGTACCTATTTAAATAAAAAATAGTAAAATAATTATTTTAATGATTTGTAGTTTTGTTTGGTGCACCCTGTAAAATTTAAAATAACGAAAAAAAAATGTTCCCATCGC